CCAATTCCTGTCCCAGTGTCTAATTGTACTTTTCTACCATCCCATCAGACTGTAGGTGAAGTGACATTGTCCTGGTCTTTCGTATGCCAATCAACTTGCAGCATTCATGGAACACAGCTGATCCAAAGTTACGGCCTTGATCTGAATGCAGTTTGTATGGCATACCAAACCTGAAGAAGAAACCACTAATAGCAGAAGCTACAGTTGTAGCTTCCTGATTTGGTATTGCATACACCTCAGGTCACTTGGTGAAATAATCCATCACCACACAAATGTACCTGTTTCCAGCACGAGTTTGGGGCAAAGGAAGAGCAATGTCAATGGCTACTCTTTCCATTGGTGCGGCAACTTGATATAACTTCATTGGAGTACATCGCTTATGTTGCGTCTCCTTTTAGCACAATTTGTACTGCATGTCCTGCACCATTCTTCCACATCTTGCCTCATACCTATTCAGTAAAATCTCTGTCGTAGGTGACTCAATGTCTTCTTAACTCCCAGATGCCCTTCTGTTAAACTATCATGGAATTGATGCAGCACAACTTCCCGTAATTTTCTCGGTATAACTGTTTGCCAGGTCGTCACTTTCCCATCCCCGGACAAGAATACCATCTTCAAGCTTCAACTGGTCCCATTGTGCCCAATAGTTCTTTGTCACAGGGCTTAAGCTAGACACCATCACCCAAGCAGGGCACAAAACACTTACTTGTAGGAAATCAATTATTGGCTTCAAATCTTGGTCTTTCTCCTGTTTTGCTTTAATATCCATACTTGGTTCCGCTTCACCATCATCAACTCCTTCAGTCACTTTGACTTCACCTTGATGACACCTGATTAGTTCAACTTCTGTTTTGTAGCAATGTCTGCAGTCATTTTTGCAGGGTCTTCAGCTCTGTCTGTCGGCATTTACATGAGATTTTCCTTCCCTGTATTCAATATCATAATTATAGTTGTCTATTATTATGATCCATCGTGCCAGTTGTCCCTCTGGGTTCTTTAATGATCTTAACAAGCGTAATGTAGCATGGTCTGTCCTGATGGTAAACCTGGCGCCAGAGAGGTAAGGATGAAAATATGTCAGACTCTTTACTATAGCAAGGAGTTCCCTCCATGTTACACAGTAGTTTCTCTCTGGTCTACTCAGGACCCTATTGAAGTAGGCCACCACATGTTCATTTTCGCCCACTTTCTGAGACATTTTTGACATTACTAGCATCACAATCCAGTATGTACAGCAGTGAGGGATTTAGAAGCTTTAAAAGAAGAA